CATATAACATGTGGCTTATGGGGTAGTAAACTTAAAATATACGGATTGACTCAAAAAAGTGAAAATAAATACTTTATGGTATTTCAATATGCTGATAATGAATGTCTTCGCAAGTTTTTAAGAAAAATTTTCGTGAACTTACCTGGCAAACTACTTAAAGATGTTTTTTACGATTTATGGATGATTCATCGTGCAAGCTATGTTCATACAGATTTTCATAGTGGCAATATTTGCAGGATAAAGAAATTAGTGAAAATATGCAATCTTACATCTTAGATCTAGGATCATCTAAAAAATCTAACGAAAGTTCAGAAGGTGATATTTATGGTGTTATGCCTTATATAGCACCAGAGGTTTTATTGGATCAAAAGCTTACGCAAGCTGCCAATATTTATGGCTTCAGAATCATCATGTCGAAATGTCGACTGGACAAAGACCTTTTGATAGAGACGAATTTGATTTAAAACTTTCACTAGAAATTTGCAAAGGATTGCGTCCTGAATTTGCACCTGAAACTCCCACCTGCTATGTTGAATTGGCGAAGCATAGAGATATCTATTGAAAACTTTAAGATTATGCAAAGTTTAAATCAAATCGTAGAAGCAGATAATACATATACTGAACCTGAACATGTTCGTGAACTTTGAACCAAACTCCAAACCGAACTTCAATCATATTCAAGTTTGGTTCGAGTTCAAAAATCTGCAAAATTCTTTGTTCGGGTTTGGGTTCAGTTCGGGTTCAGCCTGAACTTGGTTCGGGCCAAACCGAATATCAGAACACTAGTTCTCGCTTATCTAAAAATTCTTTCCAAACTTTCCCATTGTAGATATCACCTAATACTCCCTTTTCAACTTGTTATTTAAATAGTGAATTCATTAATTTTTCATTAGATTCATCTGCTAATATTGACGCAATTCTTGTAATAATAGATTGGTAAAGATAAATTGCTAAAGGCTATAATAAATGTTAAATATTAAGTTCTAATTATTGTAATTAGTAGTATTACGTGATGTCTGAGATAATTGTGCTTTACTTAACTTTATATTTAAGCTTCTCTCCCAATCTTCTAACAGCTTTTGTTAACATATTTTCATATTTAAGACATTTTGTATATCCTGAAGTTTTTAAAGACAAATCCGCAAGTAAATAAAAAGAATAGCAGTGTAAGCATACAGTATATTTGAGAACAGAGTTTGGTTGCAAAATATGTTTTTCAACATAATGTTGACTTTTTGAGAAAGTTTGAAATTGAAAAATATCTAAATACACTAATACTTGATAAAAGAAGGTAATTAAAGTTATAATTCTGGTTTTTGTAATCATAAATAATCGCTGAAACAAGAATAACCAAAGAATAATCTATTGTATCATGTGATTTTCTTTCAAAAGTGGTGGATTGTATAAAAATCATATAGGATTATATGATAGTTCTGGAATAATACCATATAGATTTGAATAATTAACATTTGATAATGGTGACGATAGCATAATTGTATCATATCTTCAACAGTTTTATCTTCAACATTAGTTTTATCATTAGTATCTTCTTCAATGTCTAGATCAATATCGTGTTTATTTGGATCAGAATTACTATCTTCATTTTGATCAGAATTATCATCTTCGCTTTGATTGGAATTACCATCTTTGCTTTAATTTGAATTACTATCACTTTGATTAAAATTATCCATTGGAAAATTATCTAATAGTATTAATAGCGATCTCTTTGATTTACAAGAACTTCTATTCGTTGCTGGCTATTTATTTATTTATAAGTATTATAAGAAATTCTTTATAAATATTTAAAAATAAACCTTTTAATTATACCTTACTACATTCTTGTAACTGTGCGATATTTTCTATTATTTCTATATGTAAAGATGATTCTACTATGTTCATGCTGTTTTTGTTGAATTTATCTAATGGTGCAATGTCAAAATCATCTGTTTCATTCTTGTCAAAATTATTCATTTCATTCTCATCAAAATAATCTATTGAATTTTCATTATCAACATAATCTGTTTCATTTTCTATTTATCCGAATAATTACTCAGTGTGTTGGGTCTTATTACTAAAAGTTTATTAAATAATTGCAATTTATAAATTTTGCATTGGCTATGTTTATTTAAAAGGTTTTTCGCATCTAATCTTCTCTATACTATTGGATTTATTCTATACAAGTGCAAGAAATAAAAGAGTAAAGTTTGATCATATACTGATCAAATATCCTCTTTATTTCATTTTTTTTACTATACAATATACTACCATTTGTTAAAAATAAACTCTAAATTATTTATTTATCTGTCATCATGGCCTCTGCACCACAAAACCCGGTGCATACGACATATTTCTTAAAGTTTTTTATTAGTTTTTTAAATGTTTTCTATTTGTTTTATAAAAAGTTGTCGTATATATTCATATTTTGATTTGATGATAAATATGAAGGTTTTCTAATACTATTCTAGTAGTTTTTTTTTAATTGTGATTATTGCTAAAAAACTTTAGAAATAACTTACTATTATTTATAACATTTTTCTAATATAACACATTTGGAAAAGGTTTATAGTTTCACCTGTACATTATTCATATTTGGCAAAATTTTTGAATACATGCCACGAAGCAACACTTGTAGTAAGTTATTTGTCTAAATTACTGTTACCATTATTCATTATCAGACAATTTATAATCATGATTGGCAGGGAGTTTTCGGTTGAGTTTTAATTTGAGTAAATGTAATTATTTCGTAACACATGAAAAAAAATAAATTCATGATTATAAGATAAATAATGTTATACAAACATCCGAATTTAAGTGCTAAAAAATTCCGCAAACGAATTTTTTAAAACCACCATTGCTTCATATATACTTAATAAATTAAGGGTGTTCTCAAACCTCAATCCCGATTAGTGATGCCTGACGAAACCATGTGATGCTAATTGTCACGTGGTACAATATATAAAAATCAACAATCTATTTAG